TGGACGCAGTACATCACGCTGCGCTCCGCGTTGCCACCGGGGCTTTCCGCACTTCTCCAAAGAGTAGCCTTCTGGCTGAAACGAATGAGCCACCTCTAGCTATTCGTCGCCAGATGCTGGGGATGCGTTACACTTTGAAACTTCGCCAATACCCAACGCATCCGACGTACCCGTACGTCTTTTCACGTCACGCTACTCGATCTGACGGGAGGGTACGACCGTCGTTTGGAGAACGCATGGGAGGTCTTTTTTCAGCTGCTAACATATCCTTGCGTGGCGTTCGGCGTACCTGGGACACGCCCCCTCCACCCTGGAAAAACGCCAATCCGCAAGTGGACCTCTCACTATCGACTGTTAAGAAGGACAACTTGTTGCCTGCTGAGGCGCGAGCCAGAGCCTTAGAGCACATTGCCGTTTATGATGGTTTTATCACGGTTTATACAGACGGCTCGAAGACAACCGAGGGAGCGGGCTGCTCTTTTGTCGCTGGTCGTGACACCCGCTCGTTTTCTCTGCCACCTTCCGCCTCGGTGTTTTCTTCAGAGCTAGTCGCTATAGAGAAGGCTTTGTGTTTCATCGAGGTTTCTGGCAGTCCCTTTTACTTGATTTTATCTGATTCTCTTAGCAGCTTATTGGCCTTACGTACTTTTAACTCAGTTGACCCCATCGTGCGGGACATTTTAACTCGGCTTACGTCGGTGGAGCAATCTGGAAAATCAGTCCGTTTCTGCTGGATTCCCAGTCACGTCGGCATTGAAGGCAATGAGCTTGCTGATGCTGCTGCCAGACGCGCCGCCGCAGCACCCTGCACTCGGCGCTTGCCTCTGCCTGCCCGGGATTTTTATCCGCTGGTGCGACCCTTCATACTTTCAAAGTGGCAGGCAGAGTGGGATTTGTGTGTAAGAAACAAGCTGAGAGAGTTGAAACCAACTCTAGAGCCTTGGCAGTCTTGCCTGCAAGGCAATCGTTTCCAGGAAGTGGTCCTCTGCAGACTCCGTATTGGTCACACATACGCGACGCACAGCTATCTCCTTTCAGGAGGTGAGCAGCCTTTGTGCAACAGGTGTTCCGTGCCTCTAACCGTCGCTCACGTTCTTTTATCTTGCCCACTCTTTGAACGGAACCGGACACGCTACCTGGGCTGTATTGCTCCTGGTACCACTATCCGCCACCTACTGGGTGACGAGTCACCCTGGGTTTTATCCGGCAATATTTTTTCCTTTATCCGTTCGGTCAACTTCCAGGTGATTTACTCAACCTGACCCAATTCCTCTCTAGTCTACTTGTCTAGTCAGTTGACTGTTACGACGCTCTTGCGTTGGTCTATCTTACCTTGCCGTTTTTATCAAGTCTTTTACTTTCTTAGCCTTGGTATATAGAAGGTCTCTTGTTTTGAAACACTTGTTTTATTAGAGTGACGTTATGGGCGCAAAATGACCTTCGCAGTCGGCGCGCCCTAAAGCCCCAATAAACAAACAACAAATTGCTGCTTCAAGCGCTCGACACGCGGCTAGACAGCTGCAGCTCGCCGTAACACGTTTGGAGAGGTGGAGCGGTAAGAATGGTCTTCGTTTTTCCACAGCGAAGACCGTGGCAATGCACTTTTGCCGCCGACGTTGTGACGACCTAGCTTTGGGAATCAAGCTCTACGGACAGATGATTCCCACTCGGCCGGTGGCGAAGTTTCTTGGGATTTATTTTGACAGTCGCTTGACGTATAAGGAACATTTTAGAACGCTTCGGGAACGGTGTTTTAAATCCCTGAACGTTTTAAAATGTGTTGCTCGCACATCTTATGGTGCGGACCGTAGGACCCTTCTTCTCCTGTACCGATCGATAGTTCGGTCGAAGCTGGATTACGCTTCTTTTGTCTACGATTCAGCGAGCCAATCCAGCAAAAAGGTCCTCGACGCAGTCCATCATGCTGCAATCCGTGTCGCCACCGGAGCATTCCGCACCTCGCCCAGCAGCAGCCTTCTTGCTGAGGCGCACGAGCCGCCTCTATCCCTACGCCGCCAGATGCTTGGGATGCGCTATGCGCTGAAACTGCGTCAGTTCCCGACGCATCCGACGTATCCGTACGTCTTCTCCACCTACTACACTCGACTTGACAGAGCGCGACAATCGCTCTGCTTTGGAGCGCGCATGAGAGGTCTCTTCTCCGCAGCCAACATAGGTTTACGTGTCGTACGACGTAGCTGGGGTACGTCCTCTCCGCCTTGGAAACACGCAAAACCTCAAGTAGATCTCTCACTCTCCGAAGTTAAAGGGACTATCCCACCTTCTAAAATGTTGTTAAAACCAGTTAAATTGTGCCCGACTTTATAGATTGGATGACCAGGAACACCATTCTGGCATTTATTTTTCATTAAACATCTTAGGCTTCCCATATTCCAAACACAAACTTTCAAATATGTGACGTCACAGCCCAAAATTACCTCCTTCCCCAGGCCACATTACTGTCATAAAGCTGATTCTTTTTACTCTGTAGGCACCACAACAAAGTTCAGACCAAGTTTTAAGCGATTTTTCAACGAACAAACCCATTTGAATCAGAATGACTAAACGAGGTGACGTCACACTAACGGTCGCTCATGTTGAAGATAGGGCCTTGTACAAGGCCCATTTTCAAATGAAGGGAACGAATTTCTTCAACACCAAGAGGCCGCGGGGGTTGCAACCTAGATAGATAGTGGTTTCTGAACCTCGCCGCAAACTTGGCTATCTCAACTCAAACCCCATGTTAAAGGTGGGATAGTCCCTTTAAGAAGGATGACTTGCTGCCTTGTGAGGCGCAAGTCAGGGCCTTGCAACACATCGTCTCGTACGATGGTTTTAACACCGTTTTTACAGACGGATCAAAAACGCCTGAGGGAGTGGGATGTGCTTTTATCGCAGGTCGCGATACCCGCTCATTCTCTCTACTTTCTTTTGCCTCGGTGTTTTCATCTGAGCTAGTCGCCATCGAGAAGGCTCTGTGTTTTATCGAGGTGTCGGACGGCCTTTCTTACTTGATTTTATCGGACTCCCTAAGTAGCCTTTTGGCGTTACGGAGTTTTAATCCAGTTGACCCGATCGTTCAAGACATTTTAGCTCGACTTCAGTCAGTGGAACAATCGGGAAAATTTGTTCAGTTTTGCTGGATTCCCAGCCACGTCGGCATACACGGCAACGAGCTGGCAGATGCGGCCGCGAGGCGCGCGGCCGCAGCCTCCTGCACTCGACGTCTGCCATTGCCGGCGCGTGACCTTTATTCGGCTGTGCGATCTTTCATTATCCCGCGCGGGGCTGGGGGGGGGGGTAAATTTTACCTCCCCCTCGCGAATTTTTGCAATATCTAAAAAGCGGCGGCGCGCAGCGCCGCCAAACTTTCAGTACCTTTTCTTACATCAATTTGACACGTTCCCTGAAAATTTGAGCGAAATCCGTCGGAAATTTTTGAGAAATTGACGTTTTAGTGACGTCATGTTCGCCATTATCGCCTCAAAAACGGCAAAAGTTCAAACGCCGCTAACATCTGCATTTTTAAAGGAATCAAGACGTAACAAAAAAAGGATATACGTAATTCTACTTTGTCTATCAAATGGCTATCTCGGTTTTTTGAAAATTTTGGATTTTGACCCAATTTTTTTCAAAAAACTGACTTTTTTGGGAAAATAACTATAAAATCCAAAAATTTTAGTGTATCGAAAAAACCGGAATATATGTCAGAGAAGTGGTCTATGTGCACCTACATACCAAGTTTTAGTAGAATCGGTTCAAAAATGTGGGAGTTATTCAAAATTGTATGACGTCACGACACACAAAAATTTTGCAAAATGACTTTTTTGGAAGTTCTATACCTCGTACGGAAACAAAAATAGCACCAGTCGATTCGCCGTGAAAAACTGCATCAGATAGACACCTTTTTAGACCTTAACAACCAACTTCAAAATTTGACCTCACTTGACCTGACCTTGACCTGACCTCGACCTGAAATTCATCCAGAGGTGGTCCATATCACTTATTGAGTGTGCCTATTGAATTCTATGAGTAAAATGACCCATAAAACATGTGTCGCACATGCCCTTTCTATATTTTGTTTTTGGTGACCTGACCTGACCTGACCTGACCTTGACCTTGACCTCTGAATGATATTGTGTTGCAACGAATATTGTCTTGGTAGCCTAAGAACACGTTTTGGGCGATCAGTCTCAGTCCATGACTCCATTCTTCGGCAACTACGGTGCAAGGCCGATACTGTAGGAACTTGCAATTTGTACCCTTGACCTGACCTTGACCTTGACCTCAAACTTAAAATTAAGTACATGTTTTTAGTTGTTCGTGATGAGATCTTTTGATTGGGGTTTGAATTTTCCAAATCGGACCATTAGTTCGGGAGATAACAGGGGGGGGGGTAAATTTACCCCCCCCCCCCCCCAGCCCCGCGCGTTCGGCTGGAGACCCCAGCCCCGCGCGGGTTATCTCTGAGTGGCAGGCAGAGTGGAGCCTACGTGGAGGCGGAAAGCTCCGTGAGGTGAAGCCGACTTTGGAGCCATGGAGGTCTTGCTTGCAAGACAACCGGTCCAACGAGGTGATCTTGTGCAGGCTCCGAATCGGCCATACATATGCCACGCATGGCCACCTCCTCCGCGGAGACGAGCAGGCCATTTGCAACGGTTGTTCCGCGCCTCTTACCGTCGCTCACGTGCTCTTATCTTGTCCACTTTTAGAACCAGACCGGACACGCTACCTCGGCCGCATCGCTCCGGGTACCACTGTCCGCCACCTGCTGGGTGACGAGTCACCCTGGGTTTTATCTGGCAACATCTTTTCCTTTATCCGTGCAGTCAAATTCCAAGCGATTTATTCGACCTGACCCAAATCCTCTCTAGTCTTCTTGTCTAGTCAGTTGTCTTTTACGACGCTCTTGCGTTGTTTTATTTTACCCTGTCTTTTTTGTAAAGTCTTTTACTTTCTAGTCTTGATATCTAGAAAGTTTCTTCTTTTGAAACACTTGTTTTACTAGCGCGACGTTATGGGCGCAAAATGACCTTTGCAGTCGACGCGCCCTAAAGCCCCAATAAACAACAAAAAAACGTTGCATTCATCTTGCCTGCCAAACTTAGTTGCTTAGCAATCGCTGCTAGTTTCAGAGCAATCTTTAATGCGGTGTAGCTAGAGCGAGCCTTTGCCTTTTCTCGAACTTTGAGGTGAGGTCACTTGCTTACCTTGACGGTCTGACCCTAGATGACCTATGGCTGAACTTCTCCAGCTTATGCGGTAAAGGTGTATTCGCCGCCATTTTGGGGATGCCTATTCGCGGAAAACCCTCAGGGCACGTGTATACCCCCCCCCCCTCACGACGCCGACTATCGCTGACTATATAGCTCTATGCATATTTTTCAGGTCGTTTCGCCCAATGGGCGAGATTTAACCCTGTGCTGTTGCGCTCAGCGATGACACGTTGACGAATGGATAGATCACCGAACACAGGCGGCGTCGGCGTCGGCTCATCGGCGCCCATCTGTTGCCGGACGAGCCGCGCGGCCGGCCGACCTCTGCCGACTGCCAGGTCGATCGGCCCGGCTGGTCACGTGAGCCCGCCGCCGCGCCAGCGCCGTGGTCACGTGTCTGTTCGTCGGCGTCTGCGCGCGTGCATCAGCTGGCGAGGCAAGGTCGGCCCGGTCACTGGACTAGTGCGGCGCGACCGACGGCGGTGGGTGAGTGTGGTCGCGGCCGACGGGTCAGCGCGGCAATGGCGTCGTGGTCGACGGCAGGTCAGTGCGGGCGACGGCTGCCGCAGGCCGGTACCTCTGGCGACGCGGCACAGTTCCGGCCCGGCTAGTGCTGCGGGAGGGGTGATGTACTTTTCTATCAGGTGTATGTGGGTAGCAGAAATTTGGCGCGCATTGCCGATGGAATTGGCTGGAACTGGCATCGCTCGCCACAGGCCCCTATTTTCACAACATTGCGAACATTTGATTGGCAGTGGTAGGTAGTCAGAGGTCCGGTGAATTTGGTTGCATGCCAGCATGTAAAAATTCAGCTGCAGTCATTTGCCACTAGTCACTAATTTTAACTTGCAAACCAGCATTCGTGTTTGGACTGGCGAACGTGGCTGGGGGCCTCTGCATTATGCAACTGAGGCCATGGTCGTGTTTCACGGCTGCCGCTGGCCCTCACTAGCACTACTGCGCCTTCGGTTTCCATGGAAACATCAGCAAATCTCGTGAGCGTCCGAGTCCGCTGATGTTTCCATGGAAACCGAAAGCGCAGTGCGCTATTGAGTGTTAGCGGCGTGCCGTGAAACAGGGCTCATGTCACATGTGGCGTCATTCACATTTCTTAACATTATTCGGTTTTGTGCTTCTATTATTGCAGTTCAAAGCTGTGAAGACGATCTGGCTGTGTGTATGCAAATCGGCTGGCGTAGACCACCGCCTCCGACGCTCGGTTATGTGATCGGCTTGATGTGAGGTCAAATTTGAAGGTAGATTGCTCAATATCGTCTTCGACCAATATCTTTTTTCAGGTGGTCAGCGATATGCCATTCTTTTTTATGAAGTTTTTTTTCAAATGCATGCGTGAAAAAAATGTGTCGAGATCATTTTGCTCTCCGCAGATAATGCTCTCACGTTTCGTCTATTTTCTGCCGACAGATGGCGGTCAGCGCTGAGCCGATCGGCGTCCATGGCAGCTGCCGGCCCTGGCGACCCGTCCGACAGCGACCGAGAGCCGGGCACGCCGCTGTGTCTGGCGCTGCTGCGCTCCGCGTGTCACACGGTGGCCGCCGACGGCGCGCTCCAGTCGGCCGCCACGGGGCCGCCGGCCGCCGCCGTCATCACCGACGGGCCGCGCCGCAGCCGCACGCTGGCCGACGCCGCCGACGCGGACGCCTTCTTCGAGTATGACCTGGAGGGCGGCACAGCGGCGCCGGCGGCCGGACACGGCGGCGGCGGCGGCGACACGGGCTGCGCGCTCACCTCGCCGGCCGACCGGACGGACGGCAGCGGGGACCGCTCTCCGGGGGCGGCTGCCGCTGAGAACGGCCTGCGCCAGTCCGCCGCACAGCCCGCCGCGCCGGCCGCCGGCGACTGCGGCGATGTTGAGCCCCGCCCGGACCGCCACCTGTACGAGAACCCGCTGGCCGGCGCGGTGCCGGTGGGTGCGCGCCACGTTACCAGCCGGCCCCAGCAGAGTCCCAGTGAGAAGGTGGACGCCTGGCTGCTCACCTGTCAGGAGGAGGGCGCCGAGATGCCCTCCGAAGAGCTCTGTCCGCCGCCGGCCGCCGCCGACCTCCCGGAGGCGCCCGATGATGACACAGAGGACGCCCTGACGGACGCCGACGAGCTCGATATCGGCGAGCTGCTCAGCCGCGGCTGTCAGCTGCTCGAGCTCGAGCTGGAGCAGCCGGCGGCCGGCCAGGACTGTCGGCCGGCGGAGACCGAGCTCGCCGCTCCGGACGGCGGGGACGGCGCCGAGATCGGGTCGCCGCAGGACGACGACACCACCACCGGCTCGGAGAGCGGCGTGTCGTCCTCAGAGTTCCTCGCGCCGGACCAGTTCAAGAAGCGCAGCTCCTCACTCAAGTCGAGCAAGACGCCGCCGCTCACGCCCGGCCGCAAGAAGTACGTGCGGTTCGCGGACGCGCTGGGCCTGGAGCTGCAGCAGATCCGCACGTTCCGCGACGAGGCGCCGGCGGTGCCGCGCTCGGCGCTCCCCGGCGCCGACTCGGAGCTGCTGGCCGGATCGCCGGACTCGCCGCTGTTCGGCCTGGGCCCGCGGTTCGGCGGCGCCGAGCCCGTTGGCCAGCGGCAGCTGGTGCCCATGTTTCTGCAGCCCTCCAGCGGGCTGGGCTTCGAGGAGCGGCTGCGCCGAGACAAGGTGTGTCTGATCGGAGTCACCACCCACCAGGAGGACTGGTCGGTGCGCGGCGTGGTGCGCGTGCTGAACATGGACTACTACAAGTCGGTGTGCGTGCGCTACACGCTGGACGAGTGGCGCACTTGGTCGGACGCGACCGCCAGCTACGTGCAGGGCTCGTGTGACGGGTTCGCAGACCGGTTCCACTTCACCCTGTATTGCAGCACGCTGGCGGCCGGCCAGCGGCTACATTTTGCCATTGTGTTCCGCTGTCTGGGACAGGAGTTCTGGGACAACAACCACGGCAACGACTACACGGTGTTGTGCGCGCTGCAGCGGCCGGCGCCGCCCGATAGCTGGGGCGCGTCGCGCTTCTGACCCTTCGCTTGGCAGCGGTCGGCCGGCGACACCGCCGGCTCGGCGACGCTGCGCTGAGGCGAGTGGAGAGCGGGCACCGGCTCTCCACCCACCCAGCGGGCGGCGGGCGGGCTGTGGACCGCCACCAGTCGGTATCTTTCCTCTCCAGGGAGGCCCGCACCCGCCCGCCGGAGTCGGTGCGGCGACCGACCCGCTGCCAAGCGTTCAGATCTGGCCAGTGATCTGGCTGTGTGTGTGTGTATGTGCTCGCGGACGGCGTTGTTGTCTGTTGTGCCGGTCTCACCGGGTCGTGGCCGCGCCGGGTTTGTCGATGACGTGAACTGTGATAGCACAGGGCTGAACTGGCCGAGCGCACAGCTGGCCTGGTGTCTGAAGGGGACTGTGGCCGGCGGCGGCCCACTGCGAGCGCCAAAGGACGGACGGCGAGAGGAGGCCTAGCTTGTCCGCGCAGGCTTCCTAATCCAGCATACATTGTGTTACAGCGTTGTTGTCCTCAGAGCTTTAATGCCAAGCAAATAACAGTGACGCATACCATGCATATTGCATAGCAATGGAGAGCTGCCACGAAATATTACGAATAGTTAATGAGTGTATTCCTAGTTCAATACAACAGGGTGACCAGTGTTCGGAGCTCTTTTGGAGGTGCCTGCCTATTGTACGGGTGACAGCTGAGAACGAGCCAGTGACCGTAAATCCCGCCTAATAGTCCGGACCACCACTACCGTGGCCGTCTGGGAGGGACGTCATCATATGTAGAAGATTATTGGTAGCTAACGTGGTGGGAGAGTTGTATACTATATGGAATCGGATAAATTACAGCACACTGGAACGGAGCGGCGCTGGAACGGCTCAAGCGGTGCCAGGCACGCCAGGTTTATCAAACCTTTTTGTTTGTAGCCGAACGGGTTTTTCATTTGGTTCGATGTGTAGAATCGGACTTCAAAAATAGTGTTGTACTTGGGAGAGGTCAATCTCACTTTCTATCTTAATTTTTGCAGGAATTGCATGTTTCTTCGGGAACAAAATGAGAGAGTAGTAGTCTACCACAGAGACTTTCATACGCCATGCCCTACGAATCGTATGTCACATATAGCTCACATTAGCTTTACAGAAAGCCCGCAGGTCACTCAGAAGAGTAAAAGCGATATCAGCGTTCCTGTTTTCTCATTATTAATTCTTTCAAAACAATTCAAAACAGTACAATCAGCAGTCAGCACACTCAAGTTCCCAGCACTGCGTGGTACATGTAAATTGGCAACACACGGCACATGTTACGCATTAGGAAACACGCGAGCAACACATTTCAGACATGTGTACACACTAGCTACAGTTGTATTTCAGTTCCTACACCACTTCGAGATTAAAGATGCTGGAATGGATGGAACAGCATGTTTAACGCCCTCGAAAACAATACTCGTAACCGCAGCTGTGAAAAGGCGGCATAAGCGCGTGATGATGGAAGTGCTGCACGGTTTTCGAAATACTGTGTTCCCCACACACTGCACGTAGGTAGTTCGATGAGTTCCAAACACATCACCCAATGAGTTCGATGAGTTCCAAACACATCACCTAATGGCAGTGCGCCACAGCCGCGGAGATGTAATCGGACCGTTCGGCCGAGGAATCCTACTCCGACCGTTCTGCACGCGGTCGCCCTGGCGCCCGGTGCCGCACACCGGCGGGGCACGCCACAGCCGCGGAGTTGGAGTCTGGCCGCTCTGCACACTACTACATAGCTCCCAGGGCGCCCGGTACCGGCAGGTTGCTGCGCCACAGCCGCAGGATTGGAGGCTCATCCTCCTGGTCGGTCAGGCGCCCGGAGCCACGCGCCGGCAGGGTGCGCCGCTCAGCCGAGGAAGCCGCGGATCTGGCGGTCCTCGATCTGTTCCTCGACCTGCAGTTGTTCGGTCAGTGTCCGGTTCAGCACGGCGCCGAGCTCGGCCGCCATCTGTCGACAGAGCACACGGAGCAGGCAGCTCGGTGAACACGAACAGGCCCAGAACGACAAATCGTGGATGGATTGAGTAATGAGATCCACAGGAACAGAAGATTAGTGGACGCTGAACGTAGCTAGTGGAAAAAATGCAACGTAATATGTACTGAGAGCTTCAACTGCAGTGCCGACACCATATTACAAAAAAAAACACGATCGGAAGAGCTGACCTCTAGTGCGCTGGCGACGGTGGTCGGGTGGAAACTGCCTCGGCCCGCCTTGGTGACGGCGGTCACCAGGCCGCCAGCGGTGACCGCCGTCACCAGGGAGGCCTTGCTGCAGGCCTCCTCCTCCTGGGTCGGGTCCACGATACACTCGCTGTCCACCTGCAAACGGGCGGGACGGGAACAATATCAGCCACCGACCGAGTCGGGCCCACGATGTTACACTCACTGTCCACTTGCCGGACGGCGGGACGCAAGCAGGTGAACGGATCCACACCAAGCGGATAGTAATAGTTTCTCTTATAGGTAGCTCTTATAGTTTCTGCATTGCCGGATTTCACAGACAAGCAATCGGTCAACCAAGTAGGTTTGTTGTAAAATTAAACGATCTATAATTTGTGCCAGTCTCTTTGCACGATCAGACATGACACCAGTGCACTCACCAGCAGCAGAGTGACCAGGCAGGGCGCATTCTCCACATCGAGCCGCAGCAACTTGAAGGGGTCGTCCGACAGCTCGACGTCGACCCGGCCGCTGTCGGCACTGCTGACGTCCAGCTCGGGCACGCGGGCGTTAAACAGAGCCGCCTTCACGGCGCACGAGACGGCGTCGTACAGGTTGCCGCCGCACTCCAGGATCTGCCGGTCGGACCGAAGGGCACTCAGGCTGGCTGAGGGTCGGGGGACGAGTCGCCGGGCACAGTAACGGAGCTGGGCACACTTACCACCAACCGCCACATCTAGCGCGAGTCGTGCAATTAAGTTTGAAATAGAGTCCGTAAAATCGTTTCAGGCCATTCCCAGCAGTAACTATTCGGAACCTTCAAGTTGCCGCAGAACAGACAAACCCAGTGCCACTCTAAGCCGGGATCGGAAGGGAAACGGTGCGATGCCAGACAGAAAGTGGCCGAGGGAGGTGGGCCGGCCGCGGGGGCCGCTGCGGTCCTCTCACCAGTATGTCCACGTAGAGTATCCAGCACTGGCGGGCCGGCACGATGGATAGCGGCCGCAGGTCGAGCGCCGACGGGCTGGCGTAGGCCCGCGTCAGGCAGCTGGCAATGCTGCCCGCCAGCGCCTCGCCGCCGCGACCCTCGAATTCGGGAGAGGCGTTGGCCGAGCTGGTGGGGACAAATTCGAGTCAAAAACAACCACAGACCAGCTCACTGGAGACGGTACCGAATCACACACATTGCACCCACAACGACCGCAAAATGAGTGACAAGCAACTCGAGAATATCCAACATTCGTAATGGCGGACCACAGGCTGGAAGGAGCGGCGCAATGACGGTACCTCAGCTGGCGGGGTATCGGTATGTCGTACGCAACATTGCATTTATCTTGAATCTTTGCGTAATTTTAGGGTAGTAGTGGCAGGATGGCGGCGGTACGGGGGAACGGGGTGACTGGGCTCGAAAACGGTTAGTGAGGTGAAGGGTGATTTGACTGGGATAGATGGGGCCGCAGGACCAGGTCAGGACCGTGGAGCCAGACACAGTGAGCTGTTCACCAGTCAGCCCTGCCTCACCAGTCGACGGAGAACTGGAGTCGTCCGGCGCGCGGCCGCTCCGGCAGCGGCTCGCCCACCTCTGCCTTGACGCCGACCAGGACGTCGGTGGTGGCCAGCCGGAGCCGGGCCGAGCCGGCCGCGTGCGTCACCAGGCCCGTCTCCAGCTCCATGGGACGGTAGTCGCGCCGCCGCCGTCCGTCCGTCCGGTGGTCCTCCTGCAACGCCGCGCGCTCTCGATGTCTGGTCTCCACTCACAACTACTTAAATGAACATCATTTAAGTTTGCATAACAATAATTTCAAATGTGTTTTTCTCTTTTGAAATTGACAGTTTTCCATTAAAACCTCAAACCATCCCATCACTTATGCAATAATTTGGTTCAAGCCTCAATTGGTATAACTGAAGACACTTAGCAACTTAAACTACTGTACTAGTTACATGAGGTGTTTTTATATGCTGATTCAACTTTCTGAAATAAGTAATGCTTCATAGTCACATGATCAAATGAAAAGTAACCTAAGTCATTTCAGTTTAACATGTTTAATAAAAGTAAGTTAAAAAGTAAACTAAGTTTAATAAAACAAGCAATTATCACCTGTATTCCATGAATAAGAAATATCTTCTCAGCCTCACTCAAAAGAACTTCAGCCATATTTAATAGTTCTGTCCTTTATCTTCAACACATTACCATGAGTTTTTTCCAACAACCTGCATAGAATAAATCATTAACACCACAGAAAGACATAACTGAATTTCCATTGCAAAAGGCTGCTCTGCAAGTACATACCCACTTCAAGCAAGACCTGGTAAAACCAGATGCACCAAAATTGATGGGCGACACACATAACTTTTCTGGGGGACCATGCATAGTCTAGCTTGGCAATTATACCTACCTACACAATGCAACAAAAATAAAACAAAGAAAAACAAGCTTTAACAACAGATAAAAATGTTCTAATTCACCATCAGGGCAATAGCTTTGCAGTAGTGCTCTTTGCTCAAGGCCACTAGGCACTAGCAGATACAAAAGAATGAAATGACTTATTGTGATGGGCATACTCCCCATATTTTCACATTTTCAGAAACTCTTAATACCTATCTGGATTCCTTAGCATGCCTTTCTTTACACTGAAAGAAACATTTCCTTAACAAGATACATATATCATACACCCATTAACTTTACTGAAGGAAACAGTGAGGGCTCATCAAATTCAGGCTCCTCAGAAGCAGCAACTTTAACCAAGGTATACAGAACATCTATATACCCTGGTCTATAGGATGACGGTGAAAACAAGGCGCCTGGGGACAGAAACATTTCCTTAACAAGATACATATATCATACACCCATTAACTTTACTGAAGGAAACAGTGAGGGCTCATCAAATTCAGGCTCCTCAGAAGCAGCAACTTTAACCAAGGTATACAGAACATCTATATCAGTAGGCGGAACTATGGTCATGAGTACCCAAATATAGGAACGTTCCCATTTTTGGGAACCGAGTTCCCAAATATGGGAACGGGCGTTCCCATTTATGAGAACGGAAGGCAATTTTTCGGCCGTTCGCCCACTAAAACTCATAAGTGCATCACGTCTCAAAAAAGTGCACGCTAATTAAAGTATCTACTAAATCTCCATAAAGTTATCTTTAATCTGACCGTGGAACAAGGAAATTGACCGTGGAATGATATTTTTAATGATTTTTTAAAAATGACAGAATGGTGGAAATATGGGTTATACGACATTTAACATGCAATTTTAAGGAAAATGAAGCATTATTTTAGTTTGAGGTAAAGTATAATAATTTTCGCCTGGTTATGAACTTTCATACTATCGACACCAGATGCTGACAAATGCAAGCGAAGACGCGGACGGTCCCGAGGTAATATTGTTGACTTTTGGTGTCGGGGTGGACGACCGCGTGGAACGTGAGTGAATTTACCGAACTACTTTTGTAAACTCAGTTTAAGTGGTTGAAAATTATTCAGCTGTATTTTATCAACCCTGAAAGACGTATTTTATTTGGATGCTAGCTGTTTAGCGTTGCTTTTAAGGAGCGTCATGAGCGTGATTTTTGCCTTCGGTATTTTTAAGCACGACCGTTTTGGGGGAATTTCTTTTATGCAGGTCGCCCTGTGTGGCTTATTTATAATTTTTATGCTGATTTTGATCATTTCTCGTGCCCATCCTACCAGGCTTTTTGCCACTTACTCTCATTAAGAAAGGAAAAAACTAGATTTTCATCGGGACTAGGTGTTTTGAGAGTGAAACATCTCAGCGTTCCCATTTTTGGATACTTAGTTGTGCTCGTCAACCATCAGTGTTAAACAGACAGGTGCTTGACATGTCTCCACCCTCGGCGCGGACGGTGGATATAGATATGGAAGACCTTGTTGAACATCGCTGAGCGTTGTGAATTACGTAATCCTGCAGAGGGGGCGTGCCCGCTGCGGGATCGACGGGAATAAGAGCGCAGAAGACCCGGTGAAACATGCGGCGGTCTTGCCGGAAAGGTCATCTTATGATTGTTGCGTTAACAATAACCTGCGGCATTGGATGTGATGCTTGTTAATGAAAAGAACCCGTGAAAGGCGTCGGTGAAATCGTTCCCAATTTTGGGTACGCCGTTCCTATAATAAGGAACGCTTGCAGCGCCAGTGTACGAGAGCATTCCCAAATCTGGGCACTCGGCCCGGGCGGTGGAATGCTTTAGAAATAGAGGAACGATTTGAAGCTACGATGGGCCTTACAATATCAAACTCTTTCCCAACAATATTGAGACCAATATCAGGCGGTTCACGATCGTTTTATATTTTTTGGACGTCATTTAACGGTTCTTTTTCTTGTTTTAAACAATGCCTACATGGCGTTCCCATATTTGGGTTTATCGTTCCCAAACATGGGAACGAAAATGCGTTCCCAAAAATGGGCACGCTTGACCATAGTTCCGCCTGATATACCCTGGTCTATAGGATGACGGTGAAAACAAGGCGCCTGGGGTGACTTGATCAAGGCTCTTGAAATTTACCTACACAAACCAAGTGACAATCACTGTGTAAAAGGCATCGAGAGGGGGAGAACTTTTCAATAGTCGCAGGACCAAATATGACTTTCGGCGCCGTTTTCAACGGCATCCGGTCTATAGACTCAAGCTACCCTAAACAAACGCTCCCATCCCCTCGGATTAGGATCCTGATCCCACTCCCCAGAAAGATGCCTAGGAAGCACAAGATGTGGCATTATTTAGGCCACATCAAGGCCAAAGGTCTTGGTAGGTATTGGTGTTACCCAAGACGGATTCTGTAGCATGCCTTCGTGACCTTAGCATGAGTCACAAAGCTGATGTCCAGTGAATGAATTTTAAAATGAATGCAGAAATATTTAGGAATCCAACTCAGCACACACAAACAACACACAAACAGGCACTATAGCTATAGCCCAAAGTAAGCCTGAAGTTTATGAAACGTGCGAATAGTATTTGCACAGCACGTGGCGATCTGTTCAGTGTTATTTTTTATCACCACGCTGCTGCCTGGCTCGTGATTCACCGCTTCTCATTGGTCAATGAGATGTTGTCCTTCAGGCGCGAACCAGAGGGCTGTTCACGGACGCTGTGTGCGGTCGGACCGCACACAGCCTCCAAGCTCCGCCCACTGCGTCCCTACGTCAGCCTTGCGTCACCGCACACAGCGACCGCTGTGGCCGGTCGGGACTGGCCACAGCGGACCGTCCACCGCACGCAGCCGTGACGTCAGAGCCGCCTACCCATCCCCTACCCCCACGCCTGCTGGACGTACCGCACACACCGCACGCAGCAGTGTGCGGTGCCCGTGAACACCCCTCAGTATAAGCCAATGAGGGCAGAGAAGCGCTACCCAGAATGAACACTTCTTTGTAACAGCCACACCATGAATGTACCATAAAACAGTCTTCAGGGATGCCAGAAAGGCACTGCTATTTTACTGCCATCCAAGGCCATATATAGTTGCCATCGTAGCCGTCTAACAAATCAGCAAATATTGGACGAATGAAACAGAAACGATATCATGCAATCTAATTCCAAAATTGCGTAGTTGGCTTTTCAGAAAAAAGCAGCATTGAGCGACAACGGTGACTTTAAAAAATCCAAATCTTGGCTCCTTGTATCTTGAACGTTGCAATAGAAAGGTACCCTGGGGGTACCCAGTGGGTAGCAGTGTGTAATTTGAAGCGAAACCAGTCAAAGTGGAAACCAGTCTCTTACTGGAAACTGCAAGGCTATAATGATATTTTGAGAGCCTTTTTTAAAAACTGTTTTTAGTCACTTGACATTTTTCACTCTGGCTGAGGGGTGTTCACGGGCACCGCACACTGCTGCGTGCGGTGTGTGCGGTACGTCCAGCAGGCGTGGGGGTAGGGGATGGGTAGGCGGCTCTGACGTCACGGCTGCGTGCGGTGGACGGTCCGCTGTGGCCAGTCCCGACCGGCCACAGCGATCGCTGTGTGCGGTGACGCAAGGCTGACGTAGGGACGCAGTGGGCGGAGCTTGGAGGCTGTGTGCGGTCCAACCGCACACAGGGCCCGTGAACAGCCCTCTGAATACGAGCGCCAATTTAACACCAGTTTCACAGACAGATGAACTTCTGGAATCCCTATTTCCTACTAATTAGTATTATGATGAAATGCCGACTGCGATTTTATAATTTACATAAAAGCAGAATCATTAAGGTTTAAAATTGCTTATTATGGCTAATTGTGCTTATTTTTTCCCTTTTCACAAATAATGTATTTTCATTGACCGTGTAAATGAACCGCGTTTAGATTATGTGATGAAAACTAGATGAAAACAAGTCATATACTAGATCTGGTAATAACACGACAGTTGTCGTGGCAACTGGTCAAATTTTGAGGTGTCGGGTTCGTGCGGTGCATTTTGTTGGCAATACGCTGGGGAGCGGAAATCCAGTGAAATCCACTGGTAAAATTTTGATTTACTGTTGAAAGGGCTTTCTTCCCCACGCCCAAAAATAATAAATTACAAGTGTCACAAAAAATGAAGACAGTAATATTTCTCCTGGCTGTTGCTGTTATTGGAAACGCTGAAGAGCTGAAGGTTGAAACATTATTTAAGCCTGATGAGTGTGAGAAGCTATCAAAGAATGGGGATATGCTTTCAATGGACTACACTGGAACTCTTGAGGATGGCACAAAGTTTGATTCCAGGTAATTATACACCTACGTGGCAGTGTTCCATGTTGCATTTATTTTTTATTTGTGGACAAGCATTTGAAAATGATCAGTGTTAGGTAGGGATGTTTGTAATTCAAATTCCAATAAAATAAGTAGGTACCTACGTGCCTAGGTAGATATTACGCTTATGAGCATCGGAACAATTCATCACATATATACTTAAATTGCCATTGCAAACAGTAACGTCAGGCAAATGTGGACCTTGGTAAATGATTGTGGTTGCAATTGGTTCCTGTTGGATAACCAAAGGCTTTCAGGTATTTTCTGTTGGCATTGGAATGGTGTCTGATCAGTAGCGGCGGAACACCTTCAATTAAGTGGCGGCGCTGCTGATTTGGTCCCATTCTTTCCATGAAATGCCCATAGGGCTAATGTCAAAATGCCAAAATCATAGGGGGCACAGTGCCCCGGTGCCCTCCCCATTCTGCCGCATATGTGTCTGATAATATTTAGAGCTTACTAGTTACTAGAGCTTACTGGTGCTATTGTGTGGCACTGGAACACCCTATAACATAAGGTGGAACTTACCTATGGCATAAGGTGAAATCAATGACAATGATTGCTGAAGTTTCTAGTCAGGCTGGCAGTTGATACCATTTGCCACAGTAGCCCTACAAATTGCCCTGGTGAGAGGGGCCTTGAGATGGTGGTCTAAGCTTCATCTATCTCCCACAATCTTCTTTTGACAGTGTGGACAGGAAGCAGCCTTTCAACTTCCAGCTAGGTGTTGGACAAGTGATCAAGGGTTGGGACCAAGGCTTGCTGGATATGTGCGTTGGAGAACGGAGGAAGCTCATTGTTCCACCCAGCCTGGGATATGGCGAACAGGGAGCAGGAGAAGTCATTCCTGGAGGTGAGACATCATTACTATTGTGGTTTGTACAATTTTCTGATTTCATTTGCAGCCATTGGCCAGCACCAAGTTGTGTGTATTCCCTCATAGCAGAAGCCTATAGAGATGCATTTAATTTACAGCATTTGATGGGGAACTGATCTACAAAACATATCTCTCTTTCTTATCTCTTCTCTTTCTATCTCTTTCTATCCCTATCTCTTTCTTATCTCTTCCTTTGAGTTCTGACTGACGATCATCTCCTCAGGTGCCACACTCCACTTTGAAGTGGAGCTGCTCTCGATCAACGAGGCGCCGCCGCCACAGAACGTCTTCAAGATGGTGGATGCCGATAATGATCAGATGATCAGCCGCGAGGAGATCCAGGCCTACCTGACGCAGCAGCTCGAACAGCAGAAGGGCGAGATGCCCGACGGTCAGATGGAAGAGATGCTCCAGAACCAGGTGCGAATTATCTGCTCATAGTCTGCAGGGGTTAGTGGGATAGTGATTGTAGTGTGATCAGTCTTCATTGTGGTCTCCCGATCATATTAATTTCCTGCGATGCGATGTTTGTTCACTGTTTTCATGCTAGCCAAAACGTTTTCATGTTATTATTAGGGAACGTCCACATTGTGGGTATTCTGCACCCAGGTTACACACACGGTAAGATAGTACATATGGTTTACGGGTCATGTCACGGCGTAATATGAGCGCGAAATGAGTGAGACTTCACTGAGACAAAAGTAAACATCACGGACAGCTGCGGCGATTCCAGGCATTAAAATCGCCACGTCGTATCGTATCGATGAGTGAAAACAAAAAATTCACATTTTTAAACCGCTTAACTAAACCGCATGCTGTACGTAAGTCGATCGCTAGTGTTAAAAGATAAACATTTGCAATGTGTTTTAATGTCGTGCAGTATACCGCTATGAAAAGGTGTTGTCACCTCGTTGATAACCTCTTTGTCACGTTCCATGACGTCAAATCACATTGCCACATCGATTATCTTGTTTCCAATTATTTCGGATGATTTCTGTGCTAAGGAATCTTAGTTTCGCTTCTTTCCCATTGGTTTACCACGGAAATGTCGTTAACTCTTTTAATCGTAGCTCACTTATCGAAAATCCGCGGTATATATTTCGATATAGTTTGAATGTCATGATTCTTTACCATGTTTTCAGGAAAACCCCCGCCACTAATATGCCTCAACAGGATTTATCGATGCTAAGGTTTCTGGCGAATAGCTTATATTTTTCCTCAAATTATATTATCATTGCTCTTTGTTACAGGATAAGCTGATCGAAGAAATTTTCCAGCATGAAGATGCCGATAAGGACGGTTTTATCTCCCACGAAGAGTTTTCTGGTCCGAAACACGACGAACTTTAGCGAGCGATGTGGCGACTGCGGTAGTGTCTATGAAAATGGAACTGGATACACAGGAAGGGCTGTGGTATTGTTAAATTTTATGCCGTGACTTAAAACGCGTCAGCGTTGCTAGCCTCCTGAGGATCATTTGGTTTTCTGCAGAGGACAAGTATAACCTATATTTAGCTCAGGGGCAACGACTGCCACTTAGCTGGTGTAGGTGGGATGGTATATCAAACGGTGCTATATTTTCTATAGCTATTTTGACTTACGGTTGTTGGATTAGGTTTATGGCGCCTATTTGACCTGTCACTAAATCATGGAGTATCGAATGTACCCCTTCACACAATTTTAAAGTGCGATCTGCCCATCAGTGTGTGCCTATGTACAACGTTGAGTATTTATTTGTACTCGTCGAATTTTTACGTGTTACTTGACGTTGTTGGGTCTTGATAAATACAACGCATTGTCCGGTATTGTAAAAAAAAAGAGCGTTTCGTCGGAAATGGATGGATAGAATACTCGGCGGCTCCGTTTGTCACACTCTCAGCGGCTCCGGGGACAGGCTGTTTGTGCCGCGGTACCAGGTGTTCTTGCACAAAGTTGGCCTCTCTATGCTCTGGCACCAGAGTCAGGCTGCCGGTGTCTCATCAAGTTCTGCCCGTCATTGTCCCGGCGCGGGTACAGGCTGTCGGGAGGCCCCGCCCGGCGCGCCCCGCCACGTGGCCACGTGGTGGCTGGCGGCTCCGCGGGTCGGTGTGAACCCGAACCGGTCCGATAAGATCGCCGCTCCGCTCCGGTACCGACGGGCACGCCGGTCCGGTACAACGGGCACGCCGTGCGCGTTTTCCGGCTCGGTCAGCGCCACGACACGACCGTCGACCGCTGACATTTTCCTGGTGCGGTACTGACTACAGACATTGGCCGTGCTGAGCGAGCGACGTTATTCGAAGGAGGAAAATTACCGTGATTGTAATGAGGGCTTGAGTGCGGGGAAGGGGAAATTGCACAGAGAACGTGAAAAATCTGAATGAATTCTTACTAGCCACAGCCCACACGTCAGAGGGGACGGGTATCGCTTTGGCCCCCTGTCGTTTCTCTTCGTTATTTGCTTCTCCTATACGAAGGATAGAACTTACTAGGTCTACCTAACTCTATGTTTTCGAGCATCCTGGATCAACATCACGGTCGCATTTTGCTGCCAAGGGCGTCACACTGTCCAGTTCTAGGAGAGAAGATACCCGAAATTTTGCCCATCCCTTGCATATACAGGGGCTCATTTGAGAATTCTGGTCTATCTAAAATGCAGCTTCGGGGGGCCGAAGCCCATCCTTCAGTGGGCGCCGGGTCCGGAACGAAAATATCTCAGCAGAACGCGAGCCTGCGGACCGACAGACCATCCGGTACGGCTACTACAGGGGTGCGTTTGTTTGGCTCCGCGGCCTCCCGGCGCCTCGCCCGCTCCCCCACGCCGGTATCAGCTCACCGCCTACACAAGTGTAAACAGATCCGGCGACGCTGAGTCCTCAGCCGCTGCGGTGAGGGCCGGCCCGATCTCGGGCTGCGGTGAATCCCTCTGCGCCGCCGCCAGCTGGCCGTCGTCGGTCGACGTCATCGACGAGCGACGCGTCTGCCTGGGAGCGGCCGGGCCGGGTCGGCGGCGGCGGCGGCGCGCCGCCATGTGTGACGAGGGCGGGTGTCCGAGCGAGGCGGGCAGCTGTAGTGTCGGTGACCAGGGACCGGACGCCATGCTGGACATCTTGGAGGAGTTCCAGCGGCTGTACCGGGAGCGGATGGCCCGGCTCGACAGTGACCCCACCTCACCTACATATGGCAAGGTAAGGCCAGCGCCTGCGCCGGCCCCGCAGCAGCAGTAGTGCCCTACCTCTCCCCGCCCTGCAATAACTCCATAGTACCGGTTTTCCTCTCCCCTCGCCTCCCGCTAGCCGCACGGCAAGGTAATGGCAGCGCCAGCCGCCAGCCCTGTGGTAGCGCTGCAATGGTTGGGGTCTACCGAGCAGTACGAGGGGATCTACCCTCCCCCCGCTCCGCCCCCGCCTAACAGTAACTCCACAGTTGCGTCCCCCCCCCCTCCCATAACCGCAGCCCTTCAGTATCGCAACGGTAGTGTGCTACCCTCCCACCCACCCCCGCCATCCAGCCCCGCTGTAACGCAACAGTAGCGCCTGTCCCCCCCCCCCCCCCCCCCAGCCCAACAGCGAGGTAATGTCAGCCCCTCCCCGCTCAGGTCCGCAGTAACGAGCAGTAGCGCCCTGCTTCTCCTGCGGTCCCGCCATCCAGTCCCATAACGAGATAATAACAGCGCTCGCCGCCCCTCACCCATCCCCTCAGTAACCTTACTGAGCCCGCCGCCTTCCCTCCCCAAGCTCCACTACTAGGTAATGGCAGCTTCCCACCCCAACCCCGCCGTAGCTCTGCAATGCGCTCCCCCTCCCCAGTCCCAGAACGAAGTACCTAAATGTCAGCGCCCGCCCCCTACCCCAGCCCACTGTAACACAACTGAGTAGCGACGCGCCCCTCCCCTAGGCCCACAATATGGTAAATATACGCCCGTTCCAGCCTCTAGGCAGCAGATTAATCGGTCCCACACAAACAGGAAGACTGCCCTTCCCCACCCCTTCTCCCACAGCGGGTGCAGACCGCAGAACATTCTGACTGTCGACGTGCGCCTAAACCCTGACAAACCCAACCACAAAGCAGGGCAGCGCCCGCTCCAGTTCCCACAGTACTCGGTCGAGCTAGCAGATCACCCAGCGGCCAGCCTCGCAGTGTTGCAACTCGCAAGTGCCTGCAGCCTTCCACTCTGCACAGCCCTTATCTGTGTCAGCTGGGCGGTGCTGGATACGGTGCAGTAATCCGATCGGAATTCGTATCACATCGGGGCGGGGAGGGGCATTTCATCCGACCGAGCCCAAAAGGCCCCTCTTTCTAGGCATTGGCCAGAGCCGGACGCCATCCCACCTCGTGTTTAGGCATTCTTTAGTACGGGTCCCTGACAGAAATATCGAGAGGGGTCAGCCCACCCCACTGCCCAATGCCACCTGACAGCCTGATAGACCCTCTGACACCGCCCTGGTTGCGCTACTTCATGGACTTGTTGATGTTCATTGCATAATTGCCTATGATAATGGTGAAGGTGATGATTGCGATGATGATAAAAATAATTATGTCGATGATAATTATATCGAACCATTGTGTCTGCAGGATAGGATGGAGCTTCTGGAAGACTGGATTGACGATCTGAACCAACAAAACCGTACCCTCGTGCAGACTGTCAAAGAGCTGGAAACAGGTCAGTACGGCGTGAGGAAATCTGAATCTCAGTCTGGTGCTGCGAGTTCCTGGCCATTTCTCATGTGTGAGCGGCTAGGAATGCCTGGTCTTAGCTGTCAATAAATCCAGCTGTGGCCGAAAGTGCTGAACTAATGTTCTAAAGTTCGTGACGCTGTGTTTTCAGAGGCTTCTCAGCGGTGTCAGATGCTGGAGAGCCGGCTGGTGTCCACCACCTCCAGCACCAAGCAGTACATGCTTCAGCTGCACCAGCTGCAGCGGCAGGTATGTGTGACAACGAGTCCGATCGCCCCTATCAGCAGACGGTCACCGTGCGAGTCATAGGCTGTACGAATACGGCCGTATGCATCATTAGGCGTAATGCTGGCTCAGGGAGATCATCGCGATGGAGCAAGCAGAGGAATATGACTTCTGCCGATGGCTGTGCTACTGGCGCTGTGGTTCGGATCTCGGGAGAGCGGTCGGTATGGGTCTCTCCCCTGCCCTCTGGCGGGCTGTGAGCTGTGACCAGCCCGAAGGGACCGCTTTCCACTGCCCTCTAACGGGCTGTGAGCTCTGTCTCACCTGTATGGGCCGGCATCCCCTGCCCTCTAGCGGGCTGTGAGCGGGGACTGTCCCGTGCGAACTGCTCCTTCCTGCCCTCTGGCGGGTTGTGGGCTATCACCGTCCCCTTCGACCTAATCACTCCTCTCGGCCTGCTGTGACCATCCCTTGTGTCCTCCCCTCCCTCTGGCCGGCTGTGACCGGCTGTGACCACCCCGTCTCCCACTCGGTCTGCGGCAGGTTCAGCAGCTGGTCTCGGGCCGCGCCCAGGCGCAGGATCGGGCCGCCGAGCTGACGGCGCAGCTAGACGAGCAGCTGGCTGAGAACCAGCAGCTCCAGCGGCGGTTGGAGCTCGGCTCGGACGACCACCGCCCGGACCCGACCTCTCACAGGTAGGTGAATGACGCGGATGGAATAAGCACCGCTCACAGCTGCCAACATCTTCACGTTGCAGCTGACACCGATCTCGGACAGCATTGCTGTTAGCTCATTTGTCTAAATTCTCATTGAATAGTGAACAGTAAAAGTTCCCGGTTTAACGATCAAAGTTGAAATTGTATGTCTGTAAAGTGTAAACGGATAATGCCGTTCTAGACAATATAACTAGGTGGAGTTTCTTCCTGCTACCACCCCTACACTCGTGTTTAACCCGCGCCCAGCTGGGGGGGGGGGTGTTTGAACACCCCCCTTGTGGTTTTTCGCGAATATCTCAAAAACGGCGGCGCGGAGCGCCGCCGTTTTTGGTACAACTTATCGTACATCAATTCTACACATGTTGTGAAAATTTCAGACCAAGGTCATTCAAGGTCAGGTCACCAGGTCACTTGAAGTGACCTCACCTCATAAAAAGTTTCAATGTCTGTCATAGCTACACCGAGTGACCGATCGCTTTGAAACTTTCAGCGATTGCTAAGAGCAATAGCATGTACAAAATGTATATCTAAGAATTTTGATATCGATGACCTAAGGTCAGGTCAGTTTTGCGACCTCCCCATTATACAGGGTGATTTTTTTTACTTGTTAAAACGTAATGAGGTTTAGTGGCGTTAAAATGCAAATATATATGGTAAAATTATATACCAGCATGACGAGCATTCTGGGACATTTTGATTTCATGCAGACACGATGTGAAGGAACGTCCATCGTGTATTTTACTTGTGCTTGAAGTTACCCCCTCTCTCATCGACACGAATCAGCCCGCCTGAGCACGTGTTAAACAGTACCATGGACTCCCATGCTCATTAGGCGGACTGAAAAGGCTCCTATCACCCATTTTCAGCTCTGCCAGATATTTCCCATGTTTTCTTGTTATATCTGCCATACCTGGGTCAAAAAACTAGAAGTCTAGAAAAGGCAGGTCGAGGATTTTGCTACTGGCGGCCCTGGTGGTGTCTGATTCGCTGTTTTTTGTTTCTCCCTGAAGACTGATTCTTCAGAGGTTGCACATACGCCAGATGGACCGTTTGAAGGTCATTTATGACTACAAGCTTGTTCCTGCATTATTTAACGTCTTTCTGAGGTATCTCCTTGATGATCGTATGCTTCGAACTGCCTCAATGCTTCAAAATCATCGTTTTGTGTCGTTCCTTACTGAACGGCGGTGTACCATGCGTGCCCGATTGGTGGGACATTTTCACGCTCCATTGGGGCCGAGGCCTTCGGTTAAAATGGACAAATCATGACACCATACAAAATGTCCCAGATTTATCTATCACGTGCATTGCTTTTTTGCACAAGATTTTTCGATTTAGGGACCACCATTGACGTTTAATTTTTAACAGTTAAAAAAAAATCACCCTGTAAGTCAATGGGAGAAAATTGAAATGCGCCTCTTTTGGACAAAAGACATTATAAACACTCCCAAACACCGAATTACAAGTGGTTTAGACACACTGAACATGAAAATGGTGTCCGTGACCCCTGTTTATGCCCTGAGGTCATCTTAGGTCACGAATGGTATCTAACCGTTTTTCGCAAATAACTTTTGATAGAGACATGCTAGAGCGACGAAAACGCCTTAGATGTGTTCAGCTCGACGATACGGATCGACTGATATGCAGCATGACCCTTTCCGGTCAGGTCATGACCTTGACCTGAGGTCAAATTTTCAAGTTGACCTTTCAAGGTCAACTTATAGTTCATTCGATGCGTCTTGACGAGAGGAACACAATGCCGGTAAAAGTAAGCTCGTACAAGGCTTGGGTCAAAAGTTATTGCAGAAAAACTGTTTCCGAAAAAATCGGCTATTTTTGCAATTTTTGCCCCCTGCAGGCAAAACTGTTGACGTTAGGTCAAATCTGAGAGAATTACTCAGAAAGGGCTTTAATAGGGCTATCGAATGCGCTTTTCCGCGGCGCTGTAGCTCTATTGGTTCCCGAGTTATGCGTTGGCTTCTTGGAAATTTTCGACATTCGACCTGGAAATCGGCGAAATTTTGCCTTCAATGACCTCTGGTGACCTGACCTTTGACCTGACCAAAAAATTGACCGAAATGATTTCGTCATTATTTTTGACGCTCTTTCGAACGCCGCCTTCCGCGTATCGCTACGTGGCCCAGGAGCCGAGTTACAAGGGGGGGTGTTCAAACACCCCCCCCCCAGCAGGGCGTGGAAATCCAGGACCCCCAGCCGGGCGCGGGTTAAACCAGTATTTCCTCCGAAAACATTGCCTTCGAGAGGGTGCTATTTGGAATGTCTGTGGCCCGCAAGTGGAGTTCATGTGACACCGACCGTTCCAGGTGGCAGCACTGGGGCCCGAATGACGTTATCACCTCGCCAAGCTCCGATCAGGTGAGGTCAGCGAGACGGAGCCCTGACAACTAGATGCCGGCAGCGCTCGTGCGTTGCCTTGGGCCAGAATTGGAGGATCCATAGCCAAATGAAATGTGCATTATTTTGGAGGCCTTGCCTGGGACTACCATTGAACCGATTTTGAGGTTGATAGCTTAAAATTTCTTTGAGCCAGAGGACCTCACGTCAAAACGGTTTTCCGACCCCAGCACGTGCAGCCTGCACCCCTCGCAGACGGTGACCCCCCTGGAAACTGGTTCAAGGTGTTACCGATGTGTCCCGCCAGTATGGCTTTGCCCGTGACCTCGGGTTGACCTGTAGCCTTGACAAAAATGTTCGTGTCACCGAAACTTTGAAGCGGAATAGCATGTGCCACGAAGCACCGAGCGAACCGAGGCCAGCACCAAAAGTTTACCTCGCCGGAGACGAATCAAACGGTCCCACTTTCGTCCCGATCGGTCCACCCATTTTGACTCCAGGTCCAAAAAAGCTTATGTCCGTGAAGTTGGCGACGTCGCCAGCGACTTTTCCAGCGACGAGCACCGATTTTAGCCAAAACCTCGTCCAAGGTCAATTGGACCATGAGGATCACGAAAATCGAACCCATTCACCCCTAAACCTTGACATTCAAGGTCAAATTCAAGGTCAAAGGACGGGGAACTGAAAAAGTGCCACTAAATATTGTCCGATTTTCAAAATTTTGGCACCAAAATGTAGCGCGTGCTAAGTTCTAGCCGCACATCGAAAACCATTTTAATCAAGGTCAATCTTCAAGGTCAAATTCAAGGTCAAAGGACGGGGAACTGAAAAAGTGCAACTAAATATTGTCCGATATTCAAAATTTTGGCACCAAAATGTAGCGCGTGGAAAGTTCTAGCCGCACATCGAAAACCATTTTCATCAAGGTCAAACTTCAAGGTCAAATTCAAGGTCAAAGGACGGGGAACTGAAAAAGTGCCACTAAATATTGTCCGATATTCAAAATTTTGGCACCAAAATGTAGCGCGTGCAAAGTTCTAGCCGCACATCGAAAACCATTTTCATCAAGGTCAAACTTCAAGGTCAAATTCAAGGTCAAAGGACGGGGAACTGAAAAAGTGCCACTAGATATTGTCCGATCTTCAAAATTTTGGCACCAAAATGTAGCGCGTGCAAAGTTCTAGCCGCACATCGAAAACCATTTTCATCAAGGTCAAACTTCAAGGTCAAATTCAAGGTCAAAGGACGGGGAACTGAAAAAGTGCCACTAAATATTGTCCGATCTTCAAAATTTTGGCACCAAAATGTAGCGCGTGCAAAGTTCTAGCCGCACATCGAAAACCATTTTCATCAAGGTCAAACTTCAAGGTCAAATTCAAGGTCAAAGGACGGGGAACTGAAAAAGTGCCACTAAATATTGTCCGATCTTCAAAATTTTGGCACCAAAATGTAGCGCGTGCAAAGTTCTAGCCGCACATCGAAAACCATTTTCATCAAGGTCAAACTTCAAGGTCAAATTCAAGGTCAAAGAACGGGGAACTTTAAAAATGCTAAGTCACCAGCGACTTTTCCAGCGACGAGCACCGATTTTAGCCAAAACCTCGTCCAAGGTCAATTGGACCATGAGGATCACGAAAATCGAACCCATTCACCCCTAAACCTTGACCTTCAAGGTCAAATTCAAGGTCAAAGGACGGGGAACTGAAAAAGTGCCACTAAATATTGTCCGATTTTCAAAATTTTGGCACCAAAATGTAGCACGTGCAAAGTTCTAGCCGCACATCGAAAACCATTTTCATCAAGGTCAAACTTCAAGGTCAAATTCAAGGTCAAAGGACGGGGAACTGAAAAAGTGCCACTAAATATTGTCCGATTTTCAAAATTTTGGCACCAAAATGTAGCGCGTGCAAAGTTCTAGCCGCACATCGAAAACCATTTTCATCAAGGTCAAACTTCAAGGTCAAATTCAAGGTCAAAGGACGGGGAACTGAAAAAGTGCCACTAGATATTGTCTGATCTTCAAAATTTTGGCACCAAAATGTAGCGCGTGCAAAGTTCTAGCCGCACATCGAAAACCATTTTCATCAAGGTCAAACTTCAAGGTCAAATTCAAGGTCAAAGGACGGGGAACTGAAAAAGTGCCACTAGATATTGTCCGATCTTCAAAATTTTGGCACCAAAATGTAGCGCGTGCAAAGTTCAAGCCGCACATCGAAAACCATTTTCATCAAGGTCAAACTTCAAGGTCAAATTCAAGGTCAAAGGACGGGGAACTGAAAAAGTGCCACTAATTATTGTCCGATTTTCAAAATTTTGGCACCAAAATGTAGCGCGTGCAAAGTTCTAGCCGCACATCGAAAACCATTTTCATCAAGGTCAAACTTCAAGGTCAAATTCAAGGTCAAAGGACGGGGAACTGAAAAAGTGCCACTAGATATTGTCCGATCTTCAAAATTTTGGCACCAAAATGTAGCGCGTGCAAAGTTCTAGCCGCACATCGAAAACCATTTTCATCAAGGTCAAACTTCAAGGTCAAATTCAAGGTCAAAGGACGGGGAACTGAAAAAGTGCCACTAAATATTGTCCGATCTTCAAAATTTTGGCACCAAAATGTAGCGCGTGCAAAGTTCTAGCCGCACATTGAAAACCATTTTCATCAAGGTCAAACTTCAAGGTCAAATTCAAGGTCAAAGGACGGGGAACTGAAAAAGTGCCACTAAATATTGTCCGATCTTCAAAATTTTGGCACCAAAATGTAGCGCGTGCAAAGTTCTAGCCGCACATCGAAAACCATTTTCATCAAGGTCAAACTTCAAGGTCAAATTCAAGGTCAAAGAACGGGGAACTTTAAAAATGCTACGTCACCAGCGACTTTTCCAGCGACGAGCACCGATTTTAGCCAAAACCTCGTCCAAGGTCAATTGGACCATGGGAATCACGAAAATCGAACCCATTCACCCCTAAACCTTGACCTTCAAGGTCAAATTCAAGGTCGAAGGACGGGGAACTGAAAAAGTGCCACTAAATATTGTCCGATTTTCAAAATTTTGGCACCAAAATGTAGCGCGTGCAAAATTCTAGCCGCACATCGAAAACCATTTTCATCAAGGTCAAACTTCAAGGTCAAATTCAAGGTCAAAGGACGGGGAACTGAAAAAGTGCCACTAAATATTGTCCGATTTTCAAAATTTTGGCACCAAAATGTAGCGCGTGCAAAGTTCTAGCCGCACATCGAAAACCATTTTCATCAAGGTCAAACTTCAAGGTCAAATTCAAGGTCAAAGGACGGGGAACTGAAAAAGTGCCACTAGATATTGTCCGATCTTCAAAATTTTGGCACCAAAATGTAGCGCGTGCAAAGTTCTAGCCGCACATCGAAAACCATTTTCATCAAGGTCAAACTTCAAGGTCAAATTCAAGGTCAAAGGGCGGGGAACTGAAAAAGTGCCACTAAATATTGTCCGATTTTCACAATTTTGGCACCAAAATGTAGCGCGTGCAAAGTTCTAGCCGCACATCGAAAACCATTTTCATCAAGGTCAAACTTCAAGGTCAAATTCAAGGTCAAAGGACGGGGAACTGAAAAAGTGCCACTAAATATTGTCCGATTTTCAAAATTTTGGCACCAAAATGTAGCGCGTGCTAAGTTCTAGCCGCACATCGAAAACCATTTTCATCAAGGTCAAACTTCAAGGTCAAATTCAAGGTCAAAGGACGGGGAACTGAAAAAGTGCCACTAAATATTGTCCGATTTTCAAAATTTTGGCACCAAAATGTAGCGCGTGCAAAGTTCTAGCCGCACATCGAAAACCATTTTCATCAAGGTCAAACTTCAAGGTCAAATTCAAGGTCAAAGGACGGGGAACTGAAAAAGGGCCACTAAATATTGTCCGATTTTCAAAATTTTGGCACCAAAATGTAGCGCGTGCTAAGTTCTAGCCGCACATCGAAAACCATTTTAATCAAGGTCAATCTTCAAGGTCAAATTCAAGGTCAAAGGACGGGGAACTGAAAAAGTGCAACTAAATATTGTCCGATATTCAAAATTTTGGCACCAAAATGTAGCGCGTGGAAAGTTCTAGCCGCACATCGAAAACCATTTTCATCAAGGTCAAACTTCAAGGTCAAATTCAAGGTCAAAGGACGGGGAACTGAAAAAGTGCCACTAAATATTGTCCGATAATCAAAATTTTGGCACCAAAATGTAGCGCGTGCAAAGTTCTAGCCGCACATCGAAAACCATTTTCATCAAGGTCAAACTTCAAGGTCAAATTCAAGGTCAAAGGACGGGGAACTGAAAAAGTGCCACTAGATATTGTCCGATCTTCAAAATTTTGGCACCAAAATGTAGCGCGTGCAAAGTTCTAGCCGCACATCGAAAACCATTTTCATCAAGGTCAAACTTCAAGGTCAAATTCAAGGTCAAAGGACGGGGAACTGAAAAAGTGCCACTAAATATTGTCCGATCTTCAAAATTTTGGCACCAAAATGTAGCGCGTGCAAAGTTCTAGCCGCACATCGAAAACCATTTTCATCAAGGTCAAACTTCAAGGTCAAATTCAAGGTCAAAGGACGGGGAACTGAAAAAGTGCCACTAAATATTGTCCGATCTTCAAAATTTTGGCACCAAAATGTAGCGCGTGCAAAGTTCTAGCCGCACATCGAAAACCATTTTCATCAAGGTCAAACTTCAAGGTCAAATTCAAGGTCAAAGAACGGGGAACTTTAAAAATGCTAAGTCACCAGCGACTTTTCCAGCGACGAGCACCGATTTTAGCCAAAACCTCGTCCAAGGTCAATTGGACCATGAGGATCACGAAAATCGAACCCATTCACCCCTAAACCTTGACCTTCAAGGTCAAATTCAAGGTCAAAGGACGGGGAACTGAAAAAGTGCCACTAAATATTGTCCGATTTTCAAAATTTTGGCACCAAAATGTAGCACGTGCAAAGTTCTAGCCGCACATCGAAAACCATTTTCATCAAGGTCAAACTTCAAGGTCAAATTCAAGGTCAAAGGA